ATAAGTGTATAGACTAGAAATAATTCTTATACTCACCCAATAAACTAATGCTAAAGAAAATATTATGTGATACAGTAGTCAAATATTTATGGGCGCAAATAAATATATGACAAATGATTCCATACTAAACTAACACGAAGTAAAGTAAACTAGATAAGAGGTATTGCATATAATTATTACCTACCATTTTGATAATGACTGCATAATTATTAATAACTTGGCCATTTGATAATGACAAATCATTACCAACAGAACTTAAGTCATTCTTTTAATTCGGTTATTGTAAGCATTCAGAAAATACCGTTGTTGTATGTTACGCAGCCAATAACTTTTTATCTGGTAGCAAATTTAATTTACATCATTTCTGGGTTCTTTTGAAGATGACATGTTAAATTATTAAATAATCCGTTATTGAATGTTGATGCTGAAATTTGGGTGTTGACTTTAAAATATAAACCCTACTAAAATCTTTATTATAACTCTATCCCTAAATTCTAGCAAACTCAGCCAACTTCAATATCAGCATGATAATTAATGCAAACCTAAATGAATAGCATTGCGTAATAGTAATTATCCTTAAGCTTGCTATCTTAGCCACATATATTGGTAAGTAGCTTTATGTTTAATCACACCCACTAAATTAATACAAATCAAATGTGCTTAAATAAATAGCATTGCGTGAAAGTAAATAGCCATATCTTGATTATATACTCACCTAGTAAATCAATGAGAGTTAAAGAAGCTTAAATAAAAGACATCCACTTAAATATCTTAATTACATAATGGATTAACCATTTCTAATGAATTAAACATATAAATTTTAACTCACCGCAATTTATAACTGCATCTCTGGTTAATTACTCAAATTATTTTTACATACCCATATAAACCAATTTCTAAACCTCTTCGATAAGAGGGGTGTTGATGTTTTATAATAAAAAAATTTGATATTGCAAATTTAGTCTTAAACTTCTGGATACTCTATATTTAAAGTAGTATTGTTGTTAATATTTGGTGGGAAAAGATTTTTTACATAATCGCGAAGAATCTTTATTATTATTAAAAAACATGCCAGGGAATAAATTAGTTTTCAGGAGCAAGTGTGACATACATGATCAGAAATATTTAAAATAAACGTTCATTTTGTCAAAGTCGCTTATTTCTCAAAAATTTGCATAGAACGCTATCTTATTTTCTTGTTAATTCTACGTAAGTACGTACCTGCAGACTATAGTTGGGACCCGAAGCCCGAACCTTTCCGAAACCTTCAAATTAGAATGTTAATAACTAATGCATATTTACTATAAAGTAACCAAAACATTCTTGAAATGCAATCTAATTGTCATATACTTTAAGTCACAATGTTTACAATTAAAATTCTAAGCCTTTCAGTATAGTGATAGAGTTTTGGAAAAGTTTCGGGTTTCGGTTTCGGGATTATAAATATAGTTTCGGGTTTTGGGTCACAACTTTGCTGTCGACTACTTTTCAGACGTTTATGCATAACTATATATTATGCAATTGTATCACAGATCAAAGTATCACCCTTAGCCTAGGATGCCCCTAACCCTAAAATTAATTCAATGAAATATATATTATAAGACTCTACCTCGCTTTAAACGTCCCCATACGTGACAAATCAGGAGCCTGATAAGGAAGGTATGGGATAGTAACTTGCTATATGACAACGTGCCGAGTTATTTATGAGAAATGGGTTAGGCTTTAGGCCATATATAAATATATGCAAAAATGGTCTTCCCGACATCTTGAATTAGCCCACTCAAGATAGATATAGACTTCCGTTTTTGTATTTTTATGTTTTTCATATTTTTGTTTTGGGATCATCAAATTTTTATAATTTGATTGGCCATTAATCACGTGACAACGTACTGCCCTAACATTGGCGGTAAGAAACATCAATTGAATAAACTTAATTTAATAGACGTTTCCTTACCTGTTACGCACGTACTACGTACGTGCGCACCTATTTTGGATAAATGATGTGCATCACTTATTATCACACAAAAAAGCCTCTAGTCCTATAGCTAGGCTAGTATAGCAAGAACCTCCAAATGCTAGAGAATTTACGAAATGATACCCAGAAATTAAACCAACAATTCCTTTATTTATTAAATAAACCTAGAAAAAATTTTGGCTAAATTTTACATATAACATTTAGGTGTGATTATTTGACCATAACTATTAAAAAGTGATAACTTATAATTATAAAAGATAATTTCATAAGTTTAGCTAACCATACATACATTCGTAAATTTTATTAGCTTAAATCTATGCAAACAATGCTATACATTACTTACATGCTGGTTTATACATATTTTTGTAATACTCACATGTTCTGTGTGACAAATCGGCATTTGTTATTACAGTATATAGGCATACGTACGTACGTACGTACTGTACATATTTTTCGCATACAAAAATAATGACAAACGCACAAGAAGAATGTCTTAAAAAAGCTACTTCTGGAGGATATATTAATAATTTTGAGCATAATGAATTTGCAGATCCTACAGATATTGGTAGCGGAGGCTTCAGAAAAGTTTTTAAATACGAATGGAAAGATTGTGATTTAACGGTTGCTCTTAAATGTCTTAAAATCGATACCATTATTAATTGTTTTACATGCAATTTATTATTTTAATTAAATATATTTATTAAATAGACAAAGTCAAAAGAACAAGGAAGATTACGAGTAGAAGAAGTAAAGTCTCGTGCTAACGCTGCCACAAATAAACAATTTGCTCATGTGGATTTAAAGACTGAGTCCGCTATGAATAAGCCTTTAAAACTTAATGGCGAGGTAGATGGTCATTATTAACTGTTTATATGTAATTTATTATTTTTATTAAATATATTTATTAAATAGACAAAGTCACAAGAACAAGGAAAATTACGAGTATTTGAAGGAAAATCTCGTGCTGACGTTATCAAAGGTACGAACAATTTCAATATTTCATATATCATCTTGAATCAAATTTATATATTCTAAATTTTCTTTACAAATTAGCTGCGAAATATACCGTGTTTATAGCATGGACTGGTTCAATGACTCAGGATGGATTGAAGTCTTTATTTGGCATTGACGAGGTCTGTATTAACATGTATCTTTGATTTACGAAAATTTATATTACTTTATGATTAATATTTTTCAAATTTTATATATTTGTCAGATCGAAGAGATTCGATATTTACCAAATAAACAATTTGCCCATGTGGATTTAAAGACTGAGGCCGCTAAGAAAAAGGCTTTGAAACTTAACGGCGAGGTAGATGGTCATTATTAATTGTTTATATGTAGTTTATTATTTTTATTAAATATATTTATTAAATAGACAAAGTCACAAGAGCAAGGAAAATTGCGAGTAGAAGAAGGAAAACCTCGTAACACAGGTACGAACGATTTCAACATTTCATAAATTATCTTGAATCAAATATATTCTAAAGTTTCTTTATAAATTAGAATATAATGGACATCATAAATCCATTTACGGAATCTCTCGTAATGAACTTGCTGAAGGTCGCCGAGCTTGGCAAGAATATTCACGTCGAGTCGTTTCATCTAGGGGCATTACCCCTTCCTTGCCTTGAATTTTGGCATTACTGCATAGTTTTGGTTTTGGACATAGGAGTTTTCTACTTCATTTAGGATAATATATGTTCATTCTCAATTATTAGTGTAAAAAAACCAATCAACTTTGTTAAATTGCGATAAATTATTAGACTTGGATTTAGGACTAGGGTAGATCTATTGAATAAAGCGATGTTATAGTAGGTTTGATGGTCATATTGAAATTGAGCACAATAAAAATGAAGGTTTTTAGCATACAGTATAAAAGACTTCTCTAAGTGCACACCGGTGTGACCATATTTTAACTATGTGCATTTAGAAAACTTGCATTTATAGTGGTCAAGTATATATTTGGCCAGAATTTGAGTGTGCATCTAGAGAGTGTGTGCACTTATAGAGGGAACATAGAGAAAGGTCTGACTGTATTTCGAATTGAAGTATCGTAATGAATTTTTAGAAAATAAGTAAAACCTTAATAAAAACAAAGTTTTTATACATTGTAGTTTATTTACTATTATTATCTTTGTTTAGTATATCAACATGCACAAAATGTTCAGCTCAAATACCATCTTCGTTTAGTAAGAAATCCAATGCTAATTGAACTAACTCCATATTTCGATATTGTCATCTTTTTTTTTTATTAATCGAAGATTTTTATTATTAGGGTAGCTGTTAATAGTATTATTGCTAGTGCTTGTTTATATAACCCTTATCTTAATTTATCTTAAGTGCAAAATCATTGTTTCTTTTTATAATGTATATAGTATAAATATAATCTCTATAAGTGCACTTTCTATAAATACGCATCCTCTCTAAATACACATTCAAATTTTAGAATGATCTTTATAAGTATATGTTATTGTCCACCTGAGTGGGCAATAACTAGAAATCTTACCCAGGCGGGAGATCTGCAAACTATATGTTGGGACTGGAATTATTGAAAAATTGATAATGCAACGAATTAAAATTTTAATTTCTTTATTTTTGCTCTAGACTTACATTTAAGTCGGTATCTTTCCCCTTCGCATATAATTCAGTTGTATTACCCCATCTATTTTGGTAACAGTAATCGATTTCATAATAACTAGCATTCTTGCACGTCCTTACGGACGTGCAGTAAAACTAATTACGGTACCATATTTGCAAATTAATTTAATGGGAAGTTGGTTTGAAAAATCCCGTTGGTTAGGTAAGAAATGAAGAAGCTGAGTATACAGTATTATTGTTATATTTGTGCTGAAACTGATTTGCCAGTTTTGTTTATGTAATTTATAAATATTTTAAATGTCTTTTGTAATAATCTTGTGAATCTTCGGCATGATTTGGTTGGTGAATATGTTCTATAATTTGAAGATATAAATATGGAATATTTACTGGTATATAATGGAAACTTTTAGTTTCGGAGATATTACAGTTTCTTGGCAACACTGTGACGCAACAAAGTTTCAAAATTAAACTTTCGCTTGTGTAACATATATACTTTGCAGTATAACCATTATACTTTTATATACTTTTGCATATAACATTTAAATAGTTTATGCGTAGTATAAAGTATACTTTAATTAGTCTTTAAATAGTATATAGCTTATTTAGAGTCTATTCATAGATATATATAGAGTGTTATGTATTTTAGTTCTTTAGTCTTTTAGTTAGTTAGTTTATTCTTAGTAAGTCTTTGGTATTTGAGTTAGATTTTAGTGCGTTAGTGGTTGGAACCGTAGAGGCAACTATCCGGATATCCGGATAATATCCAGATATCCGAATCTTAAATTTAGTTTCCGGATAGGAGTTTTCGGATATCCGGATAAGGCCAGCTAATATCCGGATAGT